GCCATCGGTGTCCCAGGTCCCGATCCATATGCTGCAATTTCCGCACTCGCCGTCGCCGATTCCGGCTTGGGCCCTTGGATCCTCGGCGGCGCACCGCTATACTCCTCGGTGCCGCCTCGGTCCACCATCCCTCAGGCTCCATCGACGGTCGCCCATGGGGGACCCTATGCAGCAGGGATCCTGTACGGCGGCATGGACGGGCCGCTGTTCCACGACACCGGCGCTCTGCGGATTACCTTCACGCGGCCGTGCCACCTAGGGCCGACCAGGAGGGTCCTAAGCGCCCTCTCAAGAGGCCATGGGGCGGTCTCGACCGCTTGCCGCCCAAGACGCATCGCCTCGAGTTCGCAACGTACGACGGCTCGGAAGACCCCCTGAATTGGCTCAACCACTGCGAGCAATTCTTTCGGGGCCAACGATGGCCGGCCTCCGACAGAACGTGGATTGCGCTGCACCACCTCCGGGGCCTGGCGCAAACACGGTACTACGCCTCGGCAGGATGAGGGCATGCCTTCTTGGGAGCGCTTCGTCGAAATGTGCCGCTTAACGCCGGACCGCCGATTCGCGGTACTCTACCGGGCGGAGTTGGGGCGCTGCCGTTCAATCTCACGGTCCAGAGTTCGCCGACCGCTTCCGGTGTCTCTGCCATGCACGTGGCGTCTCGGCCAAAGCAGAAGGCCGATCTCTTCGTCGGGGCCTTCCGAGTACATTTGGTGGATGTGGAGATGCGCGATCCCCGTGACATCCAGATAGCCATGTACTTGCACGGGCTTTCGGCGCCGGGCGGTGGCCATGCCCGCGGCGCCACCCAGCTGGGTGCCCGCCTCCACCTCGTCGGCCCGCCCGCGTCGCGTGCCCGCCACCAGCAGGGGCTCCAGCTCATCCGGGCTGCTGGCCTCTGGCGGCAGGCGCCCTCCCGTCGCGTTAGTTTTCGTCGCGCCTCACGCCGGTGAGCAGTTGAGCGCCGCCGTCAAGGGCTGTGCTTCAACTGCGACGAGCCCTATGTCCGGGGCCATGTGTGCCCCCGGCTGTTTTACCTCGAGTCTACGGACTTTGTCGACGAGGCGGCCGGGGAGGTGCCTGCTGCAGAAGCCGACGCAGCCGCCTTTCCAGACGAGCCGGCCGGCCAAGGTGTGGCCGGTGATGCAGCAGACGCTGCTAACGCCCTTGTCGTTTCTCTCCATGCTGTTGCAGGAATCCGGCCGCCCAACGCCATGCTGCTCTCCGTCACCGTCAAAGATGAGAGTTTCCTCGCCCTCCTCGACACCGGCTCCACTCATAATTTTGTCCAAGGGGCTGTGTTGCGCCGTTTGGGCCTGTCTCCAGCTAGGGGTGACCACCTCCGTGTCACGGTCGCCAATGGTGAGCACGTGGCGTGTGAGGGCATTGCTCGGAACGTGCCCGTCCGCATCGGCGACGAGGACTTCACCATCACGTGTGTTGGCCTCAACCTGGGCGCCTTCGACTTCATCATCGGCTTCGACTTCATTCGCACATTGGGCCCCGTGTTGTGGGACTGCGACGCCCTTACCATGGCGTTCTGGAGGGAGGGCCGCCGCGTCACCTGGCAGGGCGTGCCCGGCCCTCAGACGCCCTCCCCACAGCAGCCGATGACCGCGGTCACGACTGACCCGCGGCTACCTCTCCTGGATCGCCTGTTGGCGCAGCACGGTGACATCTTCGACGAGCCTACTAGGCTCCCTCCGGCGCGCCCCTACGACCACCGCATCCACCTGCTGCCCAGGACGGCCCCAGTGGCGGTGCGGCCGTACCGATACCCGTAGCTCCAGAAGGACGAGCTCGAGCGCCAATGTGCAGCGATGCTTGCCCAAGGGATCATTCGGCCGAGCACTTCGCCGTTCTCCGCGCCCGTCCTGCTGGTGCGCAAGGCGGACAAGTCGTGGCGCTTCTGTATCGACTACCGCTCCCTCAACGCCAAGACCTCCAAGGACAAATTCCCAATTCCGGTGGTTGACGAGTTGCTGGATGAGCTCCATGGGGCTCGTTTCTTCACCAAGCTTGACCTTCGTTCCGGCTATCATCAGGTGCGCATGCACCCGGAGGACATCGACAAGACGGCTTTCCGCACCCATCAGGGCCACTTCGAGTTTCTGGTGATGCCATTTGGGCTCTCCAATGCCCCGGCAACCTTCCAGGCGCTGATGAATGACGTCCTTCGGCCTTACCTGCGGCGGTTTGTGCTGGTATTTTTTGATGATATATTAATTTATAGTCCATCATGGGCCGAGCACTTGCAGCATGTCAACATCGTCCTCCACGCGCTTCGGGTACACCACCTTCACTTGAAACGATCCAAGTGCTCGTTTGGCGCATCGTCAGTGGCCTACCTGGGCCACGTGATCTCCGAGGGCAGCGTCGCCATGGACGCTGACAAGGTCACCGCCGTGGCTGCGTGGCCCCTGCCGCGCTCTGCCCATGGCCTGCGTGGTTTCCTCGGCCTCGCGGGCTACTACCGAAAATTCATTCAGGACTTCAGCATCATCGCCGCCCCACTCACACGTCTCTTGCGGCGGGACGCGTTTGTGTGGGACGACGATGCTTCGGGGGCATTCGAGGCGCTCAAGCGCGCTTTGACCACAGGACCTGTTCTTAAGATGCCAGACTTTACTAAGCCCTTCGTGGTCGACTGCGACGCGTCGGGCGCAGGGTTCGGCGCCGTCCTCCACCAGGGCGTCGGGCCCCTCGCCTACTTCAGCCGTCCCTTCGCGGCCCGTCACATCAACCTGGCGGCCTATGAGCGGGAGTTGATCGGCTTGGTTCAGGCCGTTCGCCATTGGCGCCCATATTTGTGGGGGCGCCACTTTTTGGTTCGCACTGACCATTACAGCTTGAAATTTTTGCTTGATCAACGATTGTCTACAGTTCCGCAGCATCAATGGATCAGCAAGCTATTTGGTTTCGACTTCTCGGTAGAGTACCGTCCGGGCCGCTTGAACATCGTGGCAGACGCTCTCTCTCGCCGGGACTTGGTAGATGGGGGGGCAGCCGTCCTGGTGGCCGCGGCTGCAGCAGCCCTCCCCGTGTCGGGACCATCCTTCAAGCTTCTGGACGCCATCCGGTGGGCAACAGCAGCCGCGCCTGACGCCCAGCAACTGTTGGCGCAGCTCCAGGCGGGGGAGCTGGCGGCCCCATGGCGCCTGGCTGACGGCCTTCTGATCCATGGCTCCTGCGTCTACGTGCCGGACCAAGGGGACTTGCGTCAGCAAGTGCTCCTCTTGGCTCACTCAGCTGGCCATGAGGGCACCCAGAAGACGCTACATCGACTCCGTGCAGATTTCTACATCCCTCGTGATCGTGTGTTGGTGCAGGACCTGGTGCGTTCTTGCACCACGTGCCAGCGCAATAAGACGGAGACGGTTCAGCCCGCGGGCTTGCTGCAGCCCCTAGACGTCCCCACCCAAGTGTGGGCGGATATCTCGCTGGACTTCATCGAGGGCTTGCCCAAGGTTGCGGGCAAGTCGGTCATCCTCACGGTGGTGGATCGCTTCTCCAAGTACGCCCACTTCATCGCGCTCGGCCACCCCTACACTGCTACGTCCGTCGCTCGTGCCTTCTTCGACGGCATCGTTCGCCTTCACGGGTTTCCGCTGTCCATTGTCAGCGACCGGGACCCCGTGTTCACCGGGCACGTTTGGCGAGACATCTTCAAGATGGCGGGCGTCCAGTTGCGCATGAGCACAGCTTTCCATCCGCAAACGGATGGCCAGTCCGAAGTGGTGAACAAGGTCATCGCCATGTACCTCCGTTGTGTGACGGGGGATCGCCCCCGCGCGTGGGTGGATTGGCTGTCGTGGGCGGAGTACTGCTACAACACCTCCTTCCACACGGCTCTTCGCGCCACACCGTTTGAGGTCGTCTACGGTCGCCCTCCTCCGTCGCTGCTGCCCTATTCACCGGGTACAGCTCGGACCGAGGCTGCAGATGCGCTTCTTCAGTCCCGTGATGAGATCCTCGCCGAGGTGCGCCAACGTCTTTTGCGTGCTCAGCAGACTGTCCAAAAATATTATGATACCGCCACCGCGACGCCGAAGTTTAGGTGGGCGGGCGACTGTGTGGCTGCGGTCGCTCAACCGCACTGACCCATGCACTCTCTCCAGGGGCCAAGGGCAAACTCGGTCCTCGCTATGCCGGGCCGTTCCGCGTCTTGGAGCGTCTTGGGGCGGTAGCGTATCGTCTACAGCTGCCCGAGGGTGCCCGTCTTCATGATGTCTTCCACGTGGGATTGCTCAAGCACCACCGCGGTGACGCTCCAGCAACGCCGGCCAGCCTGGCGCCGACCTTTGACAGCCGTTACACTCCTGCCCCGGCCAAGGCGCTACGTGTCCAGCGGCGCCGTGACACCTGGCAGGTGCTGATCCAGTGGCATGGTTTTCCAGAAGAGGATGCGACATGGGAGTCCGTCGACGAGTTCCGCTCCTTCTACCCCGACTTCCAGCTCGAGGACGAGCTGTTTGAGAAGGCGGGGAGAGATGTTATGACCGGCATCCAGTACTCCAGGCGAAGGCCCAGTAGTGGCTAGAGGAGGCCGGCGGGTTAGGGGGCTCAAGGCCCATATTTATCATTTTTTACATAATATTAGAGTTATTTTCTATTATTATTATTCAGAGACATATAAATACCTGTAAACTCTATTGAGGAAAGTAAGCAGAAACAATTATTGTTTCCGGCTTCCTCAGGGAGTCGGGAGAAACCCTAGCCGCCTTCTCTCTTCCGCGAACAGTATCGCGGCACTGTAGCGCCGGTACTCTAGCGCCGCCACCCTCTCCCTTCGCGAGATCACGGCGCCCCGCCGTGGTCCATCGCGGTTTAAGCCTCGGCCCCCGATCACCCACCGCTACAACCTACGCTCGGTCAGAGGAGGAACCTCGGTTCCTATCAACCATATTTCTAAAATATCACCGTATTGATAAGTGATGCTAGAATTGATGAATTTCATTTACAACAAAGCACTGATGAATTCAGTCTCCTGATGTGTATAGGTACAATGTAATCATGGATGTACCACTTACTTTCGACATCAGTAGACTTATCAAAGGTGGCCAGTAAGTAATTTTGAAAACCTTTTCAGTTAAAGATATTGCTCTACTTGATTAAATTTTCAAACATAATATGAAAACCCTCGGCACAGGTTGTTGCAGTTTGAGAAGGAAAGTTATGCGAGAATTGGGGTTATGCCCCGTTATGGCAATGCAGATTCAGTTATCTGGTTTAATGTTGAACCATTCTGCATGTTCCATCTAATCAACTGTTTTGAAGAGGGTGATGAGGTATATCAATCACGAGACTGATTAGCCTGCTCCATAGAGCTTTAATATCATCATCTCGGTTACAATCAAGAGACTGGTTATTTATTTTGTATTTTATCATCACTGCAAAGAATATATGCCTTATAGATACTACTCTTCCCCGGTTAAATAGGTTGTGGTACAAGGTCTCCGTTCACCAGACTCTATAATACCAGGTCCAAGACTTGCCCTGAACAAGTATGGATTGTCTGAGCTTACAGAAGATGACAAGCCCATGAAACAAGAAATTAACGAGGAATTTTTCTTTCGGTTATACCAATGGAGATTAAACTTGAAAACAAACTGTGTCTCAGGGGAATATTTAACTGGAACAGAGTTTTCAATCGAATTCCCAACGATCAATGACCAGTACACAGGCTTGCAACATAGTTATGCCTATGCACAAGTTGTGGACTCTGTAACAATCTCTTGTGGCAAATGTGTGAAAGGTATGTCATTTAGAAAAACGCGTGAAAGGTATGACTGAAATCGAACATAATTTTCCATGTATTTACTAGCTTAGAGTCTAGGAAAGAAAGTAAACAGTAACCTCCAACAAGAAGAATGAAATAAAGAAACGAAGCACCACAGAGGATTGGTATAGGTTACATTTCTGTTCATGGTGATGTTATATCTCAGCGTGACTAACTACTATCTAATTTGCAGTCAATCCGAAGTATAGAGGTTTTGCAAAATTCTTCCTTGATAAGAGAAACAACACAGAGGTGCAAAGCATAAATTTGTCATTGGTCTAATTCTTAATTCTTCTGGATTCCCATGCTTAACTATGACAAAAAAACAGATATCTGGGGCAAATCTCATAAAAACGCAGTATCACTGGCTTAGTAAAGATGAGTTCTGCTCTGGAGCAACATTTGTACCGCGAGTTGGTGGGTCACATGAAGATGATGGGTGGATTATTTCATTTGTACATGATGAGAAAACTAACACATCACAGGCAAGTGTTATCTATTTCATATACATCAATGATCCCATTTGTCCTACAAGCATACAGGGAAATTAATGATGGGACCTTAATGTATTAATGTTACAGGTGCATATAATTGATGCTCAAAGATTTGAAGATGCTCCTGTTGCAAAAATAGCATTACCACGAAGAGTACCGTATGGCTTCCATGGAACTTTCATCACAAACTGATGTGACGCACTTCCATCAAATGTTAAATACTAAAGAAAATTAAAAAAAAAACTTTGCATGAGTTGCTGAATCAGGCAAGCCATTTCGGTTCTTGAGATGTGTCAGTACAGAGTTTCATCCCTGTAGTTGATAGTCTATACATTTTTTTTCATTTGAGTATTGTGTTTGTGGTATCATGGACTACATTCAGCTAAAATGGGCAATAAGCTTTCAGTTGTACTACCGATTTCCCAGGAGGACAAATTAGCACGACTACTCTGTTGGTACCTTGAGAGAATATGTACTATGGAGCAAAAAAACAAGGTACCACAAACACAATACTCAAGTGGTTTGAGAAACCGGGTATCTAATCCCAGGAGGACAATTAGCACGACAGCTCCAAAAAGGTTTGAGAAAAAAATGACTTCTGGTATCTAATCCAGTAGCGTGCTGAAAACTAGACACATGAAATTTACTTGAATAAATTTCAGGCATCACATAATGTTATGGACTGATCCCAGCAGGACCGGAGGCCCAGTTGACATCCATCTGCAGCATCACCCGAACATGTTACTTGTATCTCAAAGTAAGGATTTGCTCACAAAAAATCTCAAAGTAAGGATTAAGTAAGTTGGGTAATTAAGTGATTAGCTACAAAGTCAGCCGATCAGCTGTTTTGGAGACATGCAAGATTGCATTAGATTCCCCTCTCGTACACTATACCTCTCTCACATCTTCCTCTGTTTTCTTCCTAGCCGCAGGCTTCCATCTGCCCTGGTACTAATCCAGCAAATCTACTCTACCTAGTACCTACCCGGCTACCCTACCAACTTAACGCCATGTTTCTCAAGGACCCTCTACCAACTTAGCCTAAGGCTCAACATCTCACCATTGTTGGATGATTCTTTAGCGTGCAACTCTTTCAGATTTCAGTCTAAAAGAGCAAATTACTCAAATACGCATATGGGAGCATGTAACTGCATCAAATTTGAGACATTTTCTTGTAGACTTACATTTTTTCCCCTTTTACCTGCGAGATCTTCCTTTCTCTTTTCGAACCCCTCAATGACAAGATTACAGGAACTGACTTTACTATTCTTGCTCGATCCATAGCCATGGAGAGAAAATCGTCTTCTTGTTTTTTTTTTTTATTTGGGGTGTTTTGAAAAGGAGCAGTTCTAATTCTAGATTAAGCATTGCAGTTCCAGCTAAGGCCTCGTTCGGTTGTGGATCAATCCTGGCCTGGATTCATTCCCGTTCCTTCCTAAAATACGTGTTCAGTTAGCCGACGAAACACGTATACCGGGTATGTTCCGCTATATGGCCGCACCCCGCGTGAAAAGACCCGGTTATATGGCCACACCGCGCCAGGAATCAAACCACTACTCTGGAGTCGTGGAACGGATCCCCGCGTGTAACATCCTAGATGTTAAAAGCTAATTAAAATCTTAGTCATGGTTATCATCATGCATAATCATCTAGCATTGAAGCATAAATGAATCCCATGTTTCAATTATAGCATTAATATGTTGCATATGTTGTGTTAAATGTGTTGCATGAAACGTTGTCATTGATATCAATTAAAGTTCTTTGTGAATTTATTTATGTGAATTTGCTTAAACAATTAAAATTTTGTTAAAATAAACTTTATAGTTCAAAATGTGCTCTATATTATAGAATAAAAGTTTGTTAGAGTTTTCAAGTCAAATATGTTTAAACTTGAGATCAGAAATTAAATTCCATGCTGTTTTTCCACACAGTCATTTCTGCCTAAGTCACTGAAAGCTAAGTTCAAATTTGGGAGAATTATTAAACAAATTTTCATGATGTCCAACTTTGGTTTCATGGATTGGTGTGATGATTGTACTTTGATAATGTGTAATTAGTTGTGTTGATTGAATAGTAATTAGCCTCTAATTAATTCCCAAAGTTTTCTAATCAAATCATATTTTCAAAACCCTAACTGAATCTAGTCTTCAGTTTCAAGGTTCATGATTTCTAAATTCAAAATCTTCAAAACCATCAATCTTTTGATGTTGATCTTTTAAGCAAAGTTGGAGAGCTCAGATTAGTGAACAATTTTTCTTAAGGGAGCACATCGCGTTTAGTAGAGAAATCGGGAGGAAAAGGAATAAGAAGATCGGGTTTCAGTCGTGAACAGTATTACCGGCAGCAGTCTGCTCGGCTGCTCGACGTCGGTGGCCGCCCGCCGCCTTCGCCCCGTTTCTCCGCACGTGGACACGCACCTACTCGCGGTGGCAACGTCAAGCAGCTGCTGGCCACGCCTGGATGTTTCACTCGCGTTTCGCCTCGCCGTCTTAAGCCCGAGCCGCTGGCATCCCCCTCTTTCTCTCTTCTCTGTCGCCACAGGCACCGCCCCGCTCGACGGCGAAATTAGTCGCCGTCGTTGCGCCTCAACCCAATTACCCGTGCACCCAGCCTCGCATGCTCCTTGCGCTTCTCCTCGGCTCGCTTGCGCTGTCCCGCTCCACCGGAGTCGCCCACGAGAGCCGTTTCCGCCGCGGCGGCTCGCCATGGCCGCCGAGCTTCACCTCACCGTGGCCAGCTCGCCCCGCTGCAGCTCCTCCCTCTCTCCTGATGTTTTGAATTCCTTGTGCTACCGCGATGCTCATCAGCTCGCCGATTTTCCCTTTTATCTACAGGACGCGCCGTAACGTGACCTCGCCGTCCAGTTCATGCCGCCACGCTCGTCCTCACCGCCGGCAACAACCTCCGCTTTGTCTCCGCTTCAACCATCAAGTCGGGCAAGTCTCTATGAGCACCTCCAACGCGTAGCCGTCCTTAGCTAGGCCGATTAGGGGCCGTAGCCGCTGGTCCGCCGCTGCGCCACCGTGTTCTGTGCTGCCATGCCGCCATGGCTGTGGCCGAGCACGCTCGGAGCCATATTTCGTTCAACCGCCACCGTGGATAGGTTCGTGTGTGGGGGGGGGAGCACGTTGGTGGTCTCTCCATCGCCGGTGACCTCACCGTTGGCAAGGTCCGCCGTGCGCCACGTGCTGCCATGGCCACAGTCGTGCCCGCTCCGGAACCCTAGATGTCAAGATGACCCTCGTGGTGTGTGCGGGAGTGGGAGAGGAGCTCACCGGGGTAAGCCCCGTCGCTGTAGACTTCGCCGGCGACGAGCATCCGCCGGTCAAAGGCCGGCGGTGCCACGGTCAGCGTGGTCACGCGCTACCGTTGACCTGGCCCTGCATGTCAGCCACTATGGCTGGCTGCGTGTTGGTGAGAAAAGGTTTTCAACCGAATTTTGATTTTCAGAAAATACTAATAAATGTTGATTTTTGTTTAATTCATAACTAAATAAATAATGATGATAAAAATGTGAAATTTTTTTGTGTAGCCTTGTTATGTTATGCTCTTCCATGGAAAAATATTACTTAGCTATAATCAGTAGTATTGGTATGCTTAAAAATTACCTCTTTTAATTATTAAATGGATCTTGCATGATTTTTATAGATAAAAATAATTACTATTTAATCATGAAACTTTTTTTGTATGCTTAACATGTTAATTCCTGCCTTCACAAAAAGTTTGGTATTGTTTTGATAATTCTAACTTAGTTAATTAATTTAAGCATGTTTAAATGCCTTTTTCTTTAATTGATAAATACTAAAATGATTTAGATAAATACCTAAATGTCTTATGTGTGTTTTTAACATTGTTGTGGACCTTGGAACACAAAACCCCTGCCGTTCCTTGGCAACTCTTTTTACTTCTTTGTTGTGCTCATATTTAACTTGTTAGTTAATAAATAAAATTATTTACTCAAATGACTAGTTAGTAAATGCATGTGATTAGGTCATGTAATGATCCTTGCTTGCCCTCATGGTTGAACTCTTAGTTAAATAACTTGTCTTGCTTGATTAGTATAATATAATAAGTTTTGTTTTCATGATAACAACTAATTAACTTGTTAGTTAACTAACTAAAATGTTTTTATTTATAATAATAACCCTAGTTCTTTAGTGAAGAAAAGTTGTACTCAACTTTCTTAGATTAGTTTAAGTTTTAGTATGCACTTGTGTGTCTTTCATCATGCATCACGGCATGCATTCCATCGTATTAAGTATCCATCATTTATTACGTGTAGTGCATACGAGAGTGAGAAGGTTCGTGTTGATCAAGTTTCGGAGAAGGTCTATCCACCAGTGGTGTTGGTGCCAAGTTTAACCTCTGGATCTTTCTATGGAATCTAACCTTCTCTGCAACATAGGCAAGTCCCGAAGCATAAACCCTCTCTTAATATTTATAAATCTTTATTACACCTTAAATCTTGTGAGATATGCATTAAGTAATTAGGAGTTGGTTGAATACCATTGATGCATGATTACCTTGATATTCAGGTATCCTTAGTCGTACCCCACTAGTATGTGCAGGTCGATATCTCTAATGCTTTGTAATGCTTAGACTTCGGTAGAAGTCGAATGGTGGTTTCATCGTTCGCAAGGAATAGGTTTACCTCGACTCTGTTTTTGGGTCGTGTGAACACTATGATTATGATAATGTTTAAATTGAGCCCGGGCAGGACTCGATGCTATGTTAAGTGTTCTTGGGCTGACAGGTTCGTCTGGTCATGCTCGTTCTGCTTCTGTCGATTAAGGACCATACCGTTGTAGACCTATTGTGAGTCGAGACTTTGTAGTACTAGCCACATACTCTGATAAGCCTGATACCTCGACTATTTCATTATGAGAAAGGACAACCGTGCACTGGGAGTGGAGAGATGATGAGAGTAGTGTGTACCCACCCTACGAAAACATCAGGGATTACGTACAACCATGGAGTCTGTGCTCTCGGGTGGTGCCAACCCATTCTCGTTTTGGAGGATCCAAGTGAAGGTTGATATATGTAGGTCAGGACTTGCATATGTCATGTGGTAAGGAAACCCCAGCTGGGCCTAATTGATTCAAATCGCCGCTGCTTCTCAGAGAAGAAGACTCCATTCTCTGCTCTACATCATAGTTAATCAAGAGAAACATGGTTAGTTATGGATATAAGAT